GGTGCGGGCAGCAAGGCGGCTCAGTGCAGGCAGGGCAGGGCGACGCGCAGGCAGCAATGCGGTGCGCGGGCAGCAGGGCGACGTGACGGCCAGCAGGGCGACGCGAATGACAGGGCAGGACGACGCGACAGCAGGCAGGGCGATGCGACGGGTAGGGCAGGGCGACGTGACTAGTGGGGCAGCGCTCTGTGGTGGGCCCTAAAAAAAATCGGTCCTAGAACAGGTTCTGCTCTGAAACCATGTCAGAATACTGAACAAGAATGAATAAACTATGAATGAGTTGGGTACAAGTACTAACCCTGATTGGGTTGTACCCTTTATGGGCTACCTAACTACAGCCTATACAATGTAAGCACTATAACATTTTGACACGCACGTCCCTGCAAAATTACGTCACACGAGCACAGCAAGCACAATCACAAGCACATGGCACTCCGGGACAACCTGCACCACAGGCATCATAGCACGGAAGTGTGGGGCAACCCGCGAGCGCGGCCTGTGATGGCGTCGTCCACCACGACGAAGACGACGACCACGGCACGACACACCCCGAAGCGATGAATGCGGCCAGGAGCCAGCCTCGCGTCACGATTTTGGCACCGACCAATGATTCGGCACTGCGGTCACCGATGCCGCAGAAGCCGTAGCGTCCGCCATGCTTTGACCCGAATCAACGGGTTGGTCCTACCGTTCAGGCGTGGTTGTTCACGTTGAAAGTATTTTTTTACGCCAACTACGTCTCGGAGGATACGGCGAAGATTCGCTACGCCGTGTCGCTGCTGCGAGGACCCGCCATGGACTGGTGGCACGTCATCGTCACGAAGCCGATGGACTACGCGACTCTACCGACACGGGAAGGACAAACCGGGCCCTAGGCGCCGTCGTATTTCGTAGAGGTGCCCCAATATCGCATGTGGGACGCGTGGTGCGCAGGTCTGCGCTCTCGATTTGAGCCAACTGCGGCTTCGATCGCGGCGCGTCAGAAGCTCCGCACTTGGCGCCAACTCGGTTCCGTCCAAGACTACACTAGCAGGTTCTTGGCGCAGTGTGAGCAAGTGGGATACATGCACGAAAGCGAGCGCATTGACCGCTACATCGGCGGCCTGAAGCATGATATCGCCCAAGAAATTCAGCTCCGCGGCGTCACCGACTTCCAGGAAATTCTCGCCATGGCGGAGAAGCTCGACTTCTTTCGCCGACCAAGGCCGGGGTCCTACGGAAGCAATAGCAACTGGGGACATCGATCCCGTGGGATGAACGAGGGTGCCACGATACGTGCCGTCGCCACGAATGCCGCTGCCGCACCGTTCAAAGGGCGCTGCTTCGCGTGCAATCGGCCGGGACACAGCAAGAGCGAATGCCCGGAAAACGCTAAGGGAAAGGGGGAAGCTGAGCATCAGAAACAGACCAAGCAGCAGGGAAACGCTGGGAGTCAATAGCAGACAGGCCCTCTACTGACAGGTCACGCCACTCGCCCGACCCAACCGACCCTCACCGAGTGATTGTGCCGGTTCACGCAATCGACCACACCCAACCGAATAAGGAGGGTACTACGGTAGACAGCCCCATACTGCTTAGCGGGAAAATTGGGACAGACTTAGTTAAAATATTCATAGACGGGGGAGCCAGCCACAGCCTGATCAACACAGCCACGGCACAAAAACTGAGACTGCCACTGGACAGATGTTTACTTGAGATCGACGCAAGACTGGTTCGGATTCGATGCGGGGGTAACTTCACGTTTAGCCAGGAAATGCTCGCGACAACCCTCAACGGAATCGACATTTTACTCGGCCGTGATTGGCTGCGACGACACAATTGTCAGAATCAACTAACGAGAATGAATGCATTGAACAGAAGTTGGGTACGAGTACTAACCCTAATTGGGTTGTACCCCTTCTCGGCTACCCCACTATAGCCTACAGAAATGTAAGCACTATAACATTCTGACACACCCCCATAGGCAAAGTGGGGGAGAACAAGTGGTCACAAGACCAGACAAGAAAAGCAAAGCAAGCGCAGGGTGGATCACAAAGTCACCACACAGTCTGAGCACAAGCAAAGGGCCACAAGGTCAGTTCACATGCAGAGTTATATCAAAGAGAACAAACAATACAGTGATCATACCCTAGCAAATGTAAGCATGCAGGTATATCATCACAAAAACCCTATGCCAAGTTTGGACGAATTTTGATTTCGATTGTCTTCGCGTAAAAAAATCCGGATTCAATTTGGACCGACGGTTGGAGTCATTTGATAGGAGCTCCGAGACACATCTCGCAACAACGTTTGGCTCGGTTCAAGTTCCAATTTGGCACGCGTGGTTTTCCGGATGACATTCGGGCGCAATCCGTTTTGTTGCAAATTCGTGACCAAATTATTCAAAACTAAATTCTGTTTTTGTTTATTTTGGATATTGAGGATTTTTTAAATTGCATTTATTATTGCGGTTCACAACAACCATTATTCAGCATTCTACTAGCTACAATCAGTCTTAGCACCAGGTCAAATAGCCTACGCACTGGCGGGCCTTGAAAGCACCCGGTGGGCAAGGACGACATCTCCAAGGTCGCCATCGTCGATGAGGAACTTGTTCGGAAAGACGAGCACCCCTCGCCGGATCGTGGGGGATCCTCCGCTCCACGACAGCAGAGTGGATCATCTGTTTGACCTTTTCGCACCACTTCTGATAGTCTGGCCTGTTCTGTTCCGGCTGGCTACTGATTTGCTTGCGACGCTTATCCTGCAGAAGGGGCCATTCGATCTGCAATGTGGTGTAGGGTTGGGTGGATGATTTATGAAGAGGGTGGGTTGCGGGTAAATGAGCCAACTGAAAGCGGGGATTCAGTCGTCACTATCTACGTAACTCCAAAGGTTTAATTGACCAGGGATTTAGCTGAAGTACAAGCAAGGGGTGAAGGGGATGAGGCATGGGGGTACAAACACATATCTACATCCTTACCGAAAACAGGCCCCATGCCACCATGCGGCTCTTGAACTTTGTGAACACCGCCCCGCCCCTCTTGAAGGAGAGCTTGAACGCATAAGCGAACAAGGGGTTGCTGAAGGGCATCCCGGTGGCCTTGTCAAAGTGCCAGTTGAGGGCCCACTGTTCTGCATTTTGGCAGGGAGGGTAAGGGTTGGAAAGGGTTTTGTAGAGAAATCAAGTGGGGGGATGAGAGTCAGGGTGAGCCACATCGCACGGTGATATGTAGCTGCCAACTGGCATATGGTGTTTTCCTGTTGCACATACCATCTCTGCACTCGGCTAGGAGATGATCGTCGTCGAACCAGGTCGTTGGGTGTAGCTCAGTGGGCAGGCTTTCAACGAGATGATGGTAATCGGCAAGGCCCATGCCGGTGTATGCTGCTGGCCTGAGGGTGGAGTTGATAGTTGACCTTGTTGAGGACAGCTGGTGGTTGAATACTCCCATGGTTGACTTGTCATTGTGCAACCACAGCAGCTTCATTGCCTTGAGCCCTTCTGCAGACAAGTGGACAGAGAACGCGTCAAACACTTCCTCCGGTGTAGGGTAGTACTGTATTTTCTCCAGCGGGTTCAGAAACATGAGCTGAGAGCACACTAAGTAGGCTTTGTTCTGCGCAGAGGTGTAGGGTATACAACACGACATGAGAGAGAGAAACTAGCAGTTATGAGGGTGACCGCGTGAGCAGGGTATGGTGACTAGCAACACTGTGTGAACTTGCCACGTCACACCCTGCGCCATCCGCCATGTCCACCAACAACCCGCCCCACTTGCCACGTCACACCCCCCTACCACAAACCACGTCACCCCCCACCCACCTGACACGCCTCGCTTCGTCATGCGCCGCTCACGTGTACCCTTTCAAACCGCCACGTCATCCCCAACCCTCACCTTCCGCCACATCACACCCCCCTACCACAAGCCACGTCACCCCCCACCCACCTGACACGCCTCGCTTCGTCATGCGCCGCTCACGTGTGCCCTTTCAATCCGCCACGTCATCCCCAACCCTCACCTTCCGCCACGTCACACCCTCCTGCATCTGCCACGTCCACCAACAACCCGCCCCACTTCCCACGTCACACCCCCCCACCCCAAGCCACGTCATCCCCAACCCTCACCTTAAACGCCTCGTCTCGTCATGCGCCGCTCCCTTGTACCTATCCCATCCATCACGTCATCCCCAACCCTCACCTTCTGCCACGTCACCCTCCCCCACCCCAAGCCACGTCACCCCCCACCCACCTAACACGCCTCGCCTCGTCATGCGCCGCTCCCTTATACCCTCCAAAACCGCCACGTCATCCCCAACCCCGCCCTGGCTGCCACGTCAACCCCAACCCGCCCCATTTGGCCCGCCACATACCGGGAATGGGTTTGTCTCCTGCAACACTAGCACTCGTGCCTTCTCCACGGCACTCATCAGCGGCGGGATACCTTTCATAGGCACCACTGCGGACCCCCCGGCATAACTGGCAGGTGCTCCACGACGCAGGCCAAGCTGAGCAAACATGGCGTACATCTCAGACCGTAGCGCCTGGAACTCCTCCCGTGTAACAAACTGCTCGTGCTCCGCACTTTCACCTAGGGCACCCAAGAGCGGGGGGAAAGGGTGTGAAGAATCCCCCTTCTGGCCAAGGGGATCAACGTCTTCTGCAGCAGCCCCGTGTGCCCTCACACTATCACGCTGGCGGGAAAAGGGCAGCTCAGGGAAGGGATTGGCAGAAGTGCTTGGCCCTTGCCCGCACGAAGGACCGGCGAGGGGGGAGACGGCCCTGCCCCAGACAGGAGAAGTGTGGAGCTGCCAAAATGGGTATGTGGGTGAGGCGAGTGGGGAGTGCGTGACGTGGCCTGGTGGAGGGGATTCGGATTCCTCTCCTCTTGGTGCGCCGGGTGCCCTGGCAGCGACTTTAGACGGGCCGGAGTATGGCGTGTAGAACCTTGGGGCTCCTGTGGATAGCGGGGTAACACTCGCTCTTCCGGCCCCCTTCGTTAGCTGCATCCGTTGCACGCTTACCGGTGGCCCAATGCCTGTAACACGAGGGGCTGAGATTTATAGGGAGCAGGAGCACAAAATTAGAGTCGATTAGTTTCAATACAGGGGTACACATGCTTGCGTACGATCAGCGTTTTGAATCTAAATCGGGTTAAAATGGTTACTGTTTTGTAACAAGAGGCCTTACCTTGCTTTGCAGATTCGTCGACCATCTCCTTCCCTGCAGGGGAGAAACAATGTGAAGAAATGTATTAGTTGGCACGGTTGAGCAGAGAGTTCAGCAGCCACGCCATATGTATGGGCCACAGTGCTTACCTTTCAGCTGTCCCTTCGGTTTTCTTGCTGCCTGCGCCTTCTCGTTGCCACCTTTCCGCGGGGTGCTTTGGCGGCCGCTGCGACGTTTACCGGCTGGTTCTTTGTTGCCGGAACCCACTGGAACCCCTTTGGCGCGGCCGCCCTTTCCTTCACCATCCCCTTTTGATCCCTGGCTCCCTTGCTTCTTACCAACTCCTTCGCTTTCGACCTTCACTTTACGCGTCTTCGGTTTGCCCACTGCTTCGCCACGCAGGGCGTCACCCGCCCCGCGTTTTCGGGAATGGCGAGTCCGGCCCCCCACCTTCCCTGTACCACTTCCCCGTCTGCCTCGCCCGCCCCGTCCTTTCACTGCCGCCACATCCTCCTCCTCCTCCTCCTCCTCCTCCTCCTCCTCCTCCTCCTCCTCCTCCTCCTCCTCCTCCGCCTCCTCCTCATCCTCGTCGCCCCCCTCCTCACCCTCCTCCTCCTCCTCCTCTTCCTCCTCCTCCTCCTCCTCTTCCTCCTCCTCCTCCACCTCATCCCCCTCATCCCCCGCTTTCTTGCCCCTCCTTCCGCCGGATGTTCTCCTCGCTGCGGGTCGGCCCTTCTTGCGCAATGCATGACCCGTCGCCTTGCCACTTGCTTCCCTGGCGCCTCGCGTTGTCCCAACTTCCGCACCACCGGCGTCGTCAGCACCGCCTGTTTTCTGCCGCCTCTTCGACCGCGTATTGATGTCCCCGGGCACGGCGGTGTCATACTCTTCCTCCCCATCGCTCTTCCTCTGCCTACGCCTCCCACGTCCACCAGAAGGAGGAGAGCCACCTACGTCCGCGATGCTGTGTTCGAGATCCTCCATCGAATCGTGCTCCCCCGCCTTGGCCTTATCCACCACGGCAGCAGAAATCTCGACCACGGTCGGCTGGAGCAGCGTCAGTCCGTGTTGGTATGCCTCCGCCTCGGACTCCTAGGTTGCGGCATGCTTGTTGCGGGGAGCGTCGCCGTGGTCTCCCCCGGTCGCCGAGCCCTGTCTCTCCGCCAACGGGACTGCAAGACTCACGCTCCCTCGCCCCGGATCTTCTTTGCCGCCGATGGTGCCGTCGTTAGTCGGACCGGGCTCGGTTCCACCAGAGGCAACATCCGCATCTTTTTTCACGGTAGAAACACGCTTGCGTGGCGTTGGTTGCTTCCCCTTTTCTTCCGCCTTCTCCCCAGACTTCTCCTGTCCTTGCGCGGCCTTTTTTCCCGCCACTTTTTTCTATTGAATGCCAGTCGCGGCGGACGCATTAGTAGCTTTAGATCCGCCACCACGCTCCCGATCGGTCTGAAGAGACAACCTCCTTGTCACGCGTCGTCCGGCCTGTTCCTCCTCCTTTTGTTTTTGCCGAGTTGCATGTGTCATGGTTGTAGTACGAATGCTAATTTATAACGTGCGGAACGGTGGAGGCGGTTTACTAGGGGAACCGCAAAGGAATGTAATGAAGGGAGACTCGAAAACCTCTGCTTCAATTAACACTGAACAATGCCTGTAACACGAGGGGCTGAGATTTATAGGGAGCAGGAGCACAAAATTAGAGTCGATTAGTTTCAATACAGGGGTACACATGCTTGCGTACGATCAGCGTTTTGAATCTAAATCGGGTTAAAACGGTTACTGTTTTGTAACAAGAGGCCTTACCTTGCTTTGCAGATTCGTCGACCATCTCCTTCCCTGCAGGGGAGAAACAATGTGAAGAAATGTATTAGTTGGCACGGTTGAGCAGAGAGTTCAGCAGCCACGCCATGTGTATGGGCCACAGTGCTTACCTTTCAGCTGTCCCTTCGGTTTTCTTGCTGCCTGCGCCTTCTCGTTGCCACCTTTCTGCGGGGTGCTTTGGCGGCCGCTGCGACGTTTACCGGCTGGTTCTTTGTTGCCGGAACCCACTGGAACCCCTTTGGCGCAGCCGCCCTTTCCTTCACCATCCCCTTTTGATCCCTGGCTCCCTTGCTTCTTACCAACTCCTTCGCTTTCGACCTTCACTTTACGCGTCTTCGGTTTGCCCACTGCTTCGCCACGCAGGGCGTCACCCGCCCCGCGTTTTCGGGAATGGCGAGTCCGGCCCCCCACCTTCCCTGTACCACTTCCCCGTCTGTCTCGCCCGCCCCGTCCTTTCACTGCCGCCACATCCTCCTCCTCCTCCTCCTCCTCCTCCTCCTCCTCCTCTTCCTCCTCCTCCTCCTCCTCCTCCTCCTCCTCCTCATCCTCGTCGTCCCTCTCCTCCTCCTCCTCCTCCTCCTCCTCCTCCTCCTCCTCCTCCTCCTCCTCCTCCGCCTCCTCCTCATCCTCGTCGCCCCCCTCCTCGTCCTCCTCCTCCTCCTCCTCTTCGTCCTCCTCGTCATCATTCTCATCTTTTTCTTCCTCCCCAACCTCCGCGTCCTCCTCCTCCGCATCCTCTTCATCCTCCTCTTCCTCCGCATCCTCCTCCTCTTCAGCCTCCTCCTCCTCATCCCCCGCATCCCCCGCTTTCTTGCCCCTCCTTCTGCCGGATGTTCTCCTCGCTGCGGGTCGGCCCTTCTTGCGCAATGCATGACCCGTCGCCTTGCCACTTGCTTCCCTGGCGCCTCGCGTTGTCCCAACTTCCGCACCACCGGCGTCGTCAGCACCGCCTGTTTTCTGCCGCCTCTTCGACCGCGTATTGATGTCCCCGGGCACGGCGGTGTCATACTCTTCCTCCCCATCGCTCTTCCTCTGCCTACGCCTCCCACGTCCACCAGAAGGAGGAGAGCCACCTACGTCCGCGATGCTGTGTTCGAGATCCTCCATCGAATCGTGCTCCCCCGCCTTGGCCTTATCCACCACGGCAGCAGAAATCTCGACCACGGTCGGCTGGAGCAGCGTCAGTCCGTGTTGGGATGCCTCCGCCTCGGACTCCTGGGTTGCGGCATGCTTGGCGTGGGGAGCATCGCCGTGGTTTCCCCTTGTCGCCGAGCCCTGTCTCTCCGCCAACGGGACTGCAGGACTCACGCTCCCTCGCCCCGGATCTTCTTTGCCACCGATGGTGCCGTCGTTAGTCGGACTGGGCTCGGTTCCACCAGAGACAACATCCGCATCTTTTTTCACGGTAGAAACACGCTTGCGTGACGTTGGTTGCTTCCCCTTGTATTCCGCCTTCTTCCCAGACTTCTCCTGTCCTTGCGCGGCCTTTTTTCCCGCCACTTTTTTCTGTTGAATGCCAGTCGCGGCGGACGCATTAGTAGCTTTAGATCCGCCACCACGCTCCCGATCGGTCTAAAGAGACAACCTCCTTGTCGCGCGTCGCCCGGCCTGTTCCTCCTCCTTTTCTTTTTGCCGAGTTGCATGTGTCATGGTTGTAGTACGAATGCTAATTTCTAACGTGGGGAACGGTAGAGGCGGTTTACTAGGGGAACCGCAAAGGAATCTAACGAAGGGAGACTCGACGGTCTATTCAATCATCTATGTCCGAAAACCTCCGCTTCAATTAACACTGAAATAGTAGTCACTAAGCACAGAGCTACGGCCCACTACCTTAGTCAGCTGGTGAGTCACGGGCGATCTGGAAACGCCTGCGTCAAACAGCGAGCAGCGTCAAAGTTGTGGGCCAGAGGGTGACGGAAGCAGGTGGGTGGGGCACGAGGGTGGTTGGGGTGGCTGGCAAGACTAGAGAGATGACTGTAATCAGATCAGGCTAGATCGGACGGTGTACGTTTAGCCATCCGATCATAAACCCACCCACCGCTCGATCACAGCCGCTTTAATGGCGGATGTACCGCTTGGCGGGTGCTTGTGTTGCGGGAGGGGTTGTTTGAGATGCGTCGGCCAATCAGTGTTGCCAACGCATCAATCAATTGTCATGCAAGAACAGTTTTTTAACCAATTTAGCGAACGCAACCTAAACCCTGCAAAGTACAGTGATGTCGCGAACGAACAATGTTGCACATACGAGCTAAATAACATTTAAAACTACAATAAATACAATCAACTACAAATTGGTTGCTAATGTAATAGTCTGGGGTTGTGGCAAGCTAGTGGGTTTGTATCATGTCACACACACAAAGAGCGTCCATAATTATTACTTCATACAATTGAACTAAGCACTATTAGGCTATGCCACAACGGTTACGCGTTGCTGTACGAAATCTAACACGACGATCACTAGTGCCAAACGAGAAAGAGTTGTGGCATGGTGTTGGATTGGGCTCAATTCTTGCATGGACCTTTTAAAAGGTGCATAAAGGGTTTGGTTTGAAGCACAGGGCTAACGCGCAAGCGGTGATGCGTTATCGACAGCCATGTTTAGACCGGGCGACGCTGCATCGTTCAGGCCCATGTTTTGCGCGACATGGTGAAACCGTTGTGGTATGGTGTTGGATTGGGCTCAATTCTTGCATGGACCTTGTAAAAGGTGCATAAAGGGTTTGGTTTGAAGCACAGGGCTAAAGCGCAAGCGGTGATGCGTTATCGACAGCCATGTTTAGACCGGGCGACGCTGCATCGTTGAGGCCCATGTTTTGCGCGACATGGTGAAACCGTTGTGGTATGGTGTTGGATTGGGCTCAATTCTTGCATGGACCTTGTAAAAGGTGCGTAAAGGGTTTGGTTTGAAGCACAGGGCTAACGCGCAAGCGGTTATGCGTTATCGACAGCCATGTTTAGACAGGGCGACGCTGCATCGTTCAGGCCCATGTTTTGCGCGACATGGTGAAACCGTTGTGGTATGGTGTTGGATTGGGCTCAATTATTGCATGGACCTTGTAAAAGGTGCATAAAGGGTTTGGTATGAAGCACAGGGCTGACTCGCAAGCGGTGATGCATTATCGACAGCCATGTTTAGACCGGGCGACGCTGCATCGTTCAGGCCCATGTTTTGCGCGACATGGTGAAACCGTTGTCGTATGGTGTTGGATTGTGCTCAATACTTGCATGGACCTTATACAAGGTGCATAAAGGGAGTGGTATGAAGCAGAGGGCTAACGCACAAGCAGTGATGCGTTATCGATAGCCATGCTTATACAGGGCGACGCTGCATCGTTCACTCCCATGTGTTGCATGTCATGGTGAAACCGTTGTGGTATTGCATCCGACGATGAAACCGTTGTATTATTGTATTAGATTGGGCTCCATTCTTGCTTGTAAATGCAGCACGGTGCTTTGAGGTCCCCAAAACCTCTTGTGAAGTGACGATATACATATTCGGTACATGCAACAATCTTACGGAAACACACTGAGTTCATGGGTAATACCCGTATGTTTCCATACCACACTAGAGAACTAGGAGGGTTTACAAACACTACCGTTGTCAATTAGGGGTTGTTTTTGTGCAGGCCCATAAGTATGTTTGTATAATACTAATTATATTTGAATCTAGTGTCTATGTAAAATGTAACTGTACATTGTCATTATGTGGTTTGGATTAAGTCTCTATAGGTGCGCACCACTTTGGGCTCACCTACGTGATTGCGATTTCCCCCCTATAGCACTCGAGAAAGAATCACAGCACCAAACGGATCTTGTCCCTCTCTTCCTCACCCCCCTCGACTCTCACGCACGATTCAAAAACCCAAGTTTTGAATCAAGAGGCACGTACTTCTCACCGTGCTCGCGACGCACACTCACGACCAAGCGTGCTAAACTCCAGTGCATATGGCCCTGCTCACGTCGTGGTCGCTCTAAGAGGGGGCAACACGCCTTGTAGGAAAGGGAAATGCCGTGCTGTTGGCGGTCTGTGTCGTGCCTTTTCACGGCCGTGCTGCTCGACCATCGTTAGCCAGTCCCTAACCATCGCGCCACGCTCAGGTGCCAATCGTGCAGAGATACAAGCCGCCATGGAGAGTTAGCGCTTTGGCGATGACCGTGTTGCAGTCACAGCCTTCGTTGATGGTGTATATGATGCGTTCACAAACTTCAAACATGCTATTTGCTTCATAGGCCATTATTCCACTCTAAGACGGATCCGTAAC